TATTTACCTCAGTGGCACTGCCCACTTGTGGCTTCGGAACTATGAAAGCAACGTTTCAACCTGGACAGCATTCAAGACAAAGTTCAGCGAAGTCTTCGGTCGTCCTTCTGTCCGCAAACTTCGTGCAGAGCAGCGCCTTCAGTCAAGATCTCAACTGCCTGGTGAGAATTTCACCAGTTACATAGAGGACATCATTGACTTGTGCAAACGCGTTGATAAGAACATGGCAGAGGCGGACCGCATCAAACATATTTTAAAGCTATCGAGGAGGACACATTCCAGACGCTCATTTCAAAAAGCCCGGCTACTGAGGCCCAAGTTACCGAGCTCTGCCAAAGCTATGATGAGCTCCACCGGCAACGTCTTGTCATCCGCCGTGCTGTCCCACATCAGGAATCGATGTCAGGCTTAACCCCTTTGCAAGATCCCATCCTCCTGTTGTAGATCAAAGATTTTGTGCGCGAAAAAGTTGCCTGCCAACTCTCGCTCATCTCCGGCCTACTGAAGCACAGTGCGCCGCTTAGTCCTACACTGCGGAATAATATACAAGACCAAGTGTCTCACGTCCTTCCTCCACAGCTGTTGCCACCAGTCAATGCACCATTGACGTATGCCGAAGCAGCAGCACGACCACAGACGTTCCGTAGCGCCGCCTGCACTGCTTGCTCCTGCCCGCCACGGTGGTCTAGTGGCTAAGGTACTCGGCTGCTGACCCGCAGGTCGTGGGATCAAATCCCGGCTGTGGCGGCTGCATTTCCGATGGAGGCGGAAATGTTGTAGGCCCGTGTACTCAGATTTGGGTGCACATTAAAGAACCCCAGGTGGTCGAAATTTTCAAAGCCTTCCACTACGGCGTCTCTCATAATCATATAGTGGTTTTGGGACGTTAAACCCCACAAATCAATCAACTGCTTGCTCCAGTTTAAGCCGCTCAGCCGCCAGACCTCCAGTCCACCAAGTCCCTAATCCATGGCACACTGCCGACGACTGACCGATCTGCTTTTCGCGTGGTCTACCCAGACACGTTGCACGTATGTGCCGCCGCCGACCACTCCACTCACGTGAAAAACCATGTCAATATGAGTATGACCACACGTTTCCCTACACTTCAAACCCCGAGATGACGTGCGTGATGGACACTATACGAGGCCTCAAATAGAACACGCCTTTGTGCTACTTAGGTTGTGTGGTGGTATTTTCACCCATTTTCCCATGCACCTTCGCCTCTTGGAACAGGTTCTACGCTGCCTCTCTGCAGCAGGCCTCCAACTAAACTTGAAGAAGTGTCACTTTGGAGCACGCATGTTGACCCTTCTCGGACACGTCGTGCCGAAGGATGGCGTTCTTCCTGACCCCACTAAGCTACATGCTGTTCGCGAGTTCCCGAGGCCTGCGTCTCTCAAGGAGCTGCGTAGCTTCATTGGGCTTTGCTCATACTTCCACCGCATCGTCCGGGATTTCGCCTCGATCATGGCACCTCTGACAGACCTATTTCAGGAAGACCGCAATCTATCCGCGTGGTCTCCAGCCTACGACAGTGCCTTTGCGAAGCTACGCCAACTACTTACAAAACCACCTGTACTGCGTCATTTCGATTCAAGCGCTCCCACAAAATCCACACGTATGCTAGCGGTGTCGGTCTTGGCGCTGTACTCGCCCAATGAAAGCCTGACTACCAAAAATATGTTGTAGCGTACGCGAGCCGCACTCTTACAAGAACAGAAGCATATTATTCAGTAACTAAGAATGAATGCCTAGCGATCAGCTGGGCCATTACAAAACTTCGGCCTCATCTGTACGGCCGCCCTTTCAATGCTGTTACCTATCGCCACGAGCGCTGCTGGTTATCCTTCCTCGAGGATCCTTCCGGATGCTTGGCACGATGGCCTTTATGGCTCCAAGAGTACGACATCCACGTCATTTATCGCTCAGGCCAGAAGCATGCCGATTCCGATGCTCTTTCGCGTTCACCTGTTTCTACTGCTATTGCAGGTCTCCCTCCAAAACAACTTACTTCCACTATCAGAACTCATCGACATGGCTTCGGAGCAGCGCAAGGATTCGTGGATTGCGTCTCTGATGGATTACCTCTCTGAAACACTCGCCTGCCCACCACCTCGAGCGCTACACCGACAGGCCTGTCATTTCGCCATCTGTGATGGAATCTTTTATCGTCGCAACTGCCAACCTGCTGGTCGCAAACGGCTACTCGTTATACCCAGGCATTCCCGTGCCAGCGTATGTGCTGCTTTTCATGCCGATTCGCAGTGTGCACACGCCGGTTTGTTTAAAACCTATTCCGGTTTGTTTAAAATTTACGCCGGTTTGTTTAAAACCTACGCCAGACTACGTTTTTGGTTTTATTGGTGCGGCATGTACGCATTTGTTCCGAAGTACATTCAATCTTGCACAGAGTGCCAACGCTGCAAGCACAATCCTAGCCGCCCTACTGCACCAATGCAGCCATTACCGTGCCCAGTACGACCATTCGACCGGGGTTGGAATAGAATTTCATGGTCCTCTGCCATACACATCAGCTACGAATCGTTGGATTATTGTAGCGATAGACCATCTCACGAGATATGCAAAAAGGCCGCTCTACCAGCCGCGATGGCATGTGTCGTTGCGTCTTTTCTGCTGCAACGCTTTGTTCTGCATCACGCAGCTCCTCAAGAACAGTTGAGCGACCGAGGCCGCGTCTTTCTCGCAGATGTTATTCAACAGCTGCTCTATGAAAGCCACGTGATTCACCGCTGTACTACCGCATATGGCCCACAAACAAACGTCTTGACCGAACGTTTCAACCGCACTCTTGGTGACATTCTTTTTATGCATGTCGCCTCCCACCAGACCAACTGGGATCTTATTCTTCCCTGCGTAACGTACGCTCACAACACGGTACCTCTAGCGACGACAGGCTTTTCTCCCTTCTTTTTATTCTATGGTCGAGAGCCATCACCTCCAATAGACACCATTCTTTCCTACCGACCCTAACTGATCTCAAAGCAAACCAGTTTCCGAAGCCGCTTGGTATGGGGAAGAATGTCTACAATTAGCTCGCACCCTTACAACACAAGAACAAAGACTAGAGAAATTTCGTCACATCGATGATTGATCCCACAACCAATTTTCGCTCAGCTTTCTTGTTTAGCTGTGGGTGCCTCCCGCTGCTGCTCCTGGTACCTCTACAAAGTTCGTCAGCAGGTACCATGGACCATATTGTGTCATAGAGCAAACTACTGCTGTCAAGTACCTCTTCGAACCCTTAACACCCCCTGCGGACCTGCGTCGCCAAGGTTGCGAAACTGTACCTGTAGATCCTCTCAAACCGTATCACGAACCACTTGTTCTCACGACACCTTAGAACACCTACAGTCAACTGCCGATTTTTCAGACACCCGAATTTTCGGACATGCCCGATAATTCGGACATCTTCGCGGCACCGCCACGAGCCCCATAGAATCAATGTATAAGGAAGTCTTAAATTTCGGACGCTCGAACCCCCCCAGAGTTCAATTTTCCGGACTTTTTGACGTGACGGAAGGTCGCAAACCACCACTGACCTCCAGTGGAAACCACCACAACTGCGTCACATGCGATTATGATCGCATAAATGAGCGCGCTGGTCTACTGTGACGGCATCTGTTGCTTGGACTCGATCGTTAGCGGAGAAACACACACGGCCTCCGAGATTCCTAACACTGGCCGTGTTTATCGTGCAAGGGTGCTTCGCTGACAATCGAAACTATCCACCCGGAAATTTTTTGGCGCCACTAAAGCTCCTTTCACTTCACCGTTTGTGCTTGTGCATGCCACTCTGACTTCCCGCGCAGCGCTTTCGTGAAGCGTTTCACCACTTCGAACTAGAACTAACTGTTACACACCGATTTGGTCTGGCCACGCTGGCTATCTTGAATGTTTACCAGCGCCACCTCAGGAGTACCCGAGGCATCGTCGCCTGCCGCCGCGCTGTTTTGTTTATGCAGCCCACATGGTGTTTGGCTAGCCTAATGCATAGTTGTGCGATCGTGTGAAGTGTGCTCTGCAACGCTAAGCCTAGGTGCTTCGACGCTAGTCAGCAAACTCCTTTGTTCACATCGTGAGGATTTCGCTTGTCTGCCATGGCCCCCGCTCCGCCTTCGTCGTCCTCCCCGATGGCATCGAAGCGCGGAAAACAGCACCGTCGGTTAACGATGAAGAAGAAAGCCGTTTATTAAGTTAATGAAGAGTGGCCGATCGCAGGCTGACGTGAGCAAGGAGTTCGGGATTTCCAAGCAAACAGTTTTCGATTTAGCAAACAGTAAACAGCAAAGCAAACAGTTTCCGAGATACTTTGACCCTCTTGATCCGAAAAATATCAATGAAATGGTGCGTTTTTTGCTTGCATTGAGAAGTATTAGCAAAATGGTGCGTTTTCTTTGCTTGCATTGAAAATTATCAGCAAAACAATGCCTTTTTTTTTGCTTGCATTCATTTTTTCGGACTGCCCGAATTTTCGGACGGTTTTTCGCTCCCTAGAGGGTACGAAAAATCGGCAGTTGACTGTACTTGGCTCCGTCTTCAGCAAGGGGGAAATAGTGATGAAGAAGTAGCGGGTCATGCAAAGCTTGGCAAACACATCATCAGCGCTGAGCACGAGGCACTCGGCCCGGACGTTGTCGCTGCTTTCGCTGGCTAGGCCTGCGCTCCTATCTGGTCTCAAATAAAAGTTCTGGCTGTCTCAGTTTTTTATTATAACTTCCTTATATGTTCACTTATGGATGTTCGTTATAAGCAGGTTTAACTGTACATATATACATTAGTGTCATATCAGTGACAAATACGTCAGCAAAGCTGTGGTGGAGCTCGGCATGAAACACTTTCATGTTAAAAAGAAAATTACCACGGTAGATGGTCTTCCTGCTGAAACTGCAGCCAAAGCACCTAATGAACCCAAAGTTCCACCAGGTCCTTTGGCAACACTCACAGGCCTCTTTCTGAAGAGCAAAATTGAAGCATACCTGCTTGCAGAGTGTGAGTGCTTCGTCCAAGAGCTTGCAGCGCTCCTCCTGATTGCGCTCAGCTCGCGCTGCCAGCAGCTTCTCGTGAGCTCGTGTGAAGAGTGCATCCTCGATGCGATACAGGGACGGACAGACACTGCGCAGCCGGTTGGACACGGCTTCTGCCGCTGCATTATCCTGCAACAACAAAGCAACTGACTGTAAACACTAACAGAAGGCATCGCTAGCTATGCTGAAGACAGCCTTTAATGAGAACATTCTAGAAAAGGCGGACCTAAAGACAGAGCTAGGCCTCGCAACTTCAAGATGCAAGCAAATAGTGAAGAATAATCTTTCGTTCAATGCCACTGTGAAAGACACCATAGCATTATTCCAGAAGACGTTCCACTAACACGGCTTGAGAAGTCACAGCTAATGGTGACAAAAATGACAAAAAGCAACACTTCTGAATGTCAAGCTTTCATTTTCATCCACCAGCATCACCTTGCTTATTCAGCCATTGTTGCTGTGGGCTGGGCCATTGTTATTCAGCCGTTGTTGGAGTGGGCTGGGCAGCGGCAGTGCCGGCAGTATGCCTAACCGCTTCGTTTTTATTCTGCAGGTTTTCAGATTCCTGACGACCCTGAATCAACACTCCTGTGTAACAACCTGCTTTGAGCATGTGCCGACCACCGCTGCATTATCGTTCTTTGGGAACTTCACGCCCAGCATCAAACGTTACCATACGAACTGCTCTGTCACGCGGAGTGTGCCTTCTGTGGCGTGCCCTGCAGCTGTTTGGACCGGAGTGCTACATGCGCAAGACCACCTCGACCAGCCAATCATCGACTGTCATCATTCTGTTACGTCATCAAGGAAAAGTATAAAACCCCTGGACCTGGTCTCCGTCGTCAGTGGGCTGGGCAGCGGCAGTGCCGGCAGTATGCCTAACCGCTTCGTTTTTATTCTGCAGGTTTTCAGATTCCTGAAGACCCTGAATCAACACTCCTGTGTAACAACCTGCTTTGAGCATGTGCAGACCACCGCTGCGTTATCGTTCTTTGGGAACTTCACGCCCAGCATCAACCGTTACCATATAGACTGCTCTGTCACGCACGCGTGTGCCTTCCGTGGCGTGCCCTGCAGCTGTTTGACCGGAGTGCTACATGCACAAGACCACCTCGACCAGCCAATCATCGACTGTCATCATTCTGTTACGTCATCAAGAAAAAGTATAAAACCCCTGGACCTGGTCTCCGTCGTCAGTGGGCTGGGCAGCAGCCGTGCCGGCAGTATGCCTAACCGCTTCGTTTTTATTCTGCAGGTATGTTATCTTGATCTTACCAAGTGCTTTCGCTCTGACGATCGATGTTTGCTGCTGCTGCCCTGCCCACACAATTTTGTCAGTGTTTGTTCTCATGCCGTATATAGTTTACGTCGCCTTGGCGGCGATGTTGAACTCAATCCCGGCCCCCCTAAACCTTCTGCCGCTAAAGGAAGCAGTAATGATGGGAATGCTCAGGGGCCCACGACACGTTCTAAGAATGAGGCAGGCACTGTTTTGATGGATGGTAACTCGTCTGTGGAGCAACTCCTTTCTAAAATCCTCGACAGGTCAAAGTCAAATGGCCAAAGATATCCTTGACATCAAAAATTTTCACCATACCGTCAACGCTAGATTGGATTCTCTGGATTCGGGTGTTTCGGCCCTTGAGTCTTCCCATGCCGTCTCAGCACCGCCTGTTTCATCGGTACCATTTAACAGTGAATTTGCGGCTTTGTCACAGACGGTTAATGAACTGAGATTAAAAAATGATGATCTTGAAAATCGCATGAGACGCAACAACTTAATCTTGCATGGTTTGAAAGAAGAGGACGACGAAAATAGTGACAGTCTCCGGGCTAGGGTGTCACAAGTATTCAGTGATACCTTGCTCATAGACTGTCCTCCCATTGAACGTTGTCATAGGCTAAGGCGGTCCCGAGTCAACCATGTTCGGCCCGTCATTGTGAGGCTTCTAGACTTCAGCGATAAAATAAAAGTGATGAAGAACGTCTCAAAGTTCAAAGGATCCGACTGCTACGTTACGGAAGATTATTCCCAAAGTGTGCGCTCTGTCCGGAGAAAGCTCTGGGGTGCTTCTGCTTCATTTCGTGACAGCGAGTCTAAAGTACGTTTGCGCTTCAATAAACTTTTTATTGATGACATTCAGTATACCTTAGATGCAACTTCTAACACGCTTGTTAAAGTACCCTCCCGTAGATCTTCACGTCACCCTGCTCCCACCGCTGAATCTTCATCTCCTCCCTGACTACCCCAATATCCATGTAATGACCTAATAATTTTGAATGTCAAAGCAAGAAGTCTACTGAATAAATTTCCTAGCTTTGTCTCTCTGGTATCCACGTTTTCCCCGCACATTGTAGGTGTAACTGAATCTTGGCTACATGAAGGCGTTTACGACTCTGAGATAACTCCACCCAGGTACGCCACAGTTCGTTGTGATCGACGGAGCGGCAAAGGCGGGGGAGTTGTTTTACTCTTTCGGTTGGACTTGACGTTCTCTGTTTTGCCTGTGCCTCCAGATGTTGAATCGGTATGGTGCAAGCTTTACTTAAACAAGCATCATCTCATGGTTGGTGTCTGCTACCGCCCACCTGGCACCTCCGTCGATCATATACGCAATCTCAATAGTTATATTTATAACCACAATATTGGTTCATCTAATATTATCTGTATGGGTGATTTCAATGCACCCGGAATTCATTGGCCTTCTCTGACACCTTTCGGTCGAGAACCTGGCCTCAGCCGAGAGCTAATCAATTTTTCGTTGTCGCATGACTTGGTGCAGTTGGTTAGTGATGCAACTCGACTGGACGCACTTCTCGACCTAATGTTTGTAAGCTCTAACACTGCGGAAGCTGGATTTATATGTTAAACTACCGAAGGTATATCGGATCATGAGGCGGTCATCGTGACCCTGTCTTATCCTGTGTTTAAAACCTTGTATTCGTTCACAACATTCCCAAATTTTAATCGTGCTAACGATACTTCGATCTTAGATGGCCTTGCTGATGCTTTTTCTCTGTTCGAATCCATGAGCAGCAACTGTGACGTAGATACTATTGTGTCGTACTTTGAAAACATTGTAAAATCGTGCCTTCATCGCTTTGTTCCAATAAAAACTAAAAAAACGAATAAGAAACTTCCTTGGATGAATAGAGATATTCTTCACCTATCTCGTCGTGTACGCAGGCTGAGGCGTAGAATGAACCTTGATATACCTAATAGCACGAATGAGTTCCTGAAAGCTAAAAAACAGCTTCCCGCAATGATGGCTTCTGCAAAGGATTTTTTCTTTGGCACACAATTACACTCTTTACTCAAAAATAATCCTCGCAAATTCTGGACATCAGTTCTGCCTAGTAGCTGCTCTTCCTCCTCATTCTTGATTAGCGGTGAAACTATTACTGATGACCAGGAAATCTCCCATGCGTTTAATACTTACTTCCACTCTGTATTTTCCGTCGATAATCAAGTTGCCCCTGTCTTTAACTCCCCTTCCGATATAGGCTCAATTACTGATGTAACTATCAGTCATGCTGGTGTGTTGAATCTTATTCTGAATCTAGACGCAAAAAAGGAAGACAGTCCCGATGGTATTCCAAACTCTTTTTTAATTCGGTATGCGTTATGGACATCTCGTTACCTTACCATCGTATTTCAGAAGTGTTTATCCTCGGGTGTTTTTCCTAGTGCCTGGAAACTGGTCAAGGTTCGGCCGATTTATAAGTCTGGTGATAAGCAGCTTTTGCCAAACTATCGTCCCATCTCACTGACACCACATTCCGGCAAGCTGTTGGAGCACATCATTTATAGACATATAATCGACTTTCTTGAGACTAACAACGTCTTATCTAATTTGCAGCATAGCTTTCGTAGGGGATTCAGCACTTTAACCCAATTGACAGAATTTACCCATGACATTTCTGCAAGTCTTGACTGCGGCCACCAGGTCGACGTAATATTCATTGATTTCGCAAAAGCTTTTGACACTGTTTTGCATTCTAAGTTGCTCAAAAAACTCGGTGCCATCCTAAAAAATTCCAGTCTAGTAGACCTAATTGCCAATTTTCTGTTTAATCGCTCCCAATACGTTAGCTTTAACTCTGGCTATTCATCTCAAATGAAAGTCACATCAGGGGTACCACAAGGGTCCGTTCTTGGTCGTTATTATTTTTTATTTTTATTAATGACTTACCACAACCTATTACCTGTAAATTACGTCTCTACGCCGATGACAGCGTTCTATATAACACCATTAACTCCGTTCAAGATCACTATCTTCTCAATGATTCGTTTAGTGCCTTTTGCTCTTGGTGTGACACATGGCAAATGAATATAAATTTCCGTAAAACTGTCTCGATGTCGTTCACTACCAAAACGCAGACTTCCGTTTTCAACTACTCTTTCAATGACCTAAAGCTCCAAAGGGTTTCAGATTATAAATACCTTGGCGTGATTTTCACCACTAACCTCTCCTGGTCTAAACATATCAATTCAGTCTGCACCAAATCTCTTAAAAAACTAGGCTACCTAAGACGTACCCTCAGAACTTCCCCACATGAAACTAAATTACTAATGTACAAAACACTAATTCGTCCAGTTCTTGATTATGCCTCTATCGTTTGGTGTCCGTACAAAAAAAGAGAAATAAAACAAATTGAATCTGTGCAAAAAAAGCAATCCGTTTCATTAGTCGACGCTATGACCACCATTTTTCGCCTACATCCGCCATTACTACTTTAAATCTAACCTCACTCTCTACTCGACGCGATATCGAGTCGCTCAAATTCTTGCATGCCATCGTTCACTCATTTAACCGTCTCTCCGATAACAGCTATCTTACGTATGCTATGCCAACCGTTACTCGAAATAATCATGCCCTAAACCTCGCCCCTTTTCACGCACACACCAATCTATTCAAATTTAGCTTTTTTCCTAGAACGATAGAACAATGGAATTTACTACCAGGTGAGATTAGGAGTGCTTCGATAAATCAATTCCTGCCTTCTCTTGGAAGTCGTATCTAACCAATAGTTCCTTGCTTTGTTCTGTTAATATGTACGCCCCGCAGTGCCCATTCATTGGATGTTTATTTTTGTACTGAATGGAATTGCCATGTATATAGTATTTT